ACCTGCAAAATGGGGATCAGAATATCACCTTTATACTAGGCAGGTGGTGAGGAGTCAACGAAATCTGCATGAAAAGCATTTGGAGCCGGGCTCGGTGGCTCAGCCTGTAATCCCACGTCTTTGCGAGGCTGAGGTAAGTGGATTGCCTGAGCCCACGGGTTCGAGACCCGCCTGGGCAACGAGAACTCATCTCCACAATAAATCAAAAAATCAGCCGGGCGTGGTAGCGCGTGCCTATAATTCCAGCTACTCGGAAGGCTGAGGCGGAAGGATTGCCGGAGCCCGGCAGGTCGAGGCTGCGGTGGCTGGGAATGGCCACTGCACTCCAGTCTGGGTGACAGAGTAAGACTCCAACTCAAAAAAAAAAAAAGAAAAGCATTTGGAAAACACTTGCCTCTGAGTCAGCGCCCCAGTAAAAAGGAACTCTTGTTTTGATACCAGGAAGGCAATAAGGCCTGTTGGAAAAGCCTTTAAGACAGAGAGAGCCTCAGAATGGGCGAGGATCCAGCTGGGTATGTCTGGAGGCCGGGGCTGGCCTGGACCAAGGTCACTCTTCCACCCAGGAGTCCACCTGTGAACCAGATCCTGGCTCTCCTTCCTTGGACACCAGCTTCTACAGCTCTGCAGTTTGACCAGACAGCCTCTAGAGGGCAGTGCGAGGAGCCTGAGTTGTGATCGCTGGGGCTCTCATTTTATTTTATTTAATTTATTTATTTATTTATTTAGAGTTGGAGTCTCACTCTGTCACCCAGAGTGGAGTGCAGTGGCCGCTCCCGGCCACCACAGCCTCTACCTGCTGGGCTCTGGCGATCCTTCCGCCTCAGCCTTCCAAGTAGCTGGAACTACAGGTGCACGCTACCACGCCCGGCTCATTTTGATTTTTTGTAAAGATGAGGTCTCGCCAAGTTGCCCAGGCGGGTCTCGAACCCGTGGGCTCAGGCGATCCACTCACTTCAGCCTCCCAAAGGCGCAGGATTACAAGCTGAGCCACCGAGCCTGGCTTGGGGCTCTCATTTTAAAGGGTGTTCCTTACGAATGAGGACAAAAAGAGGATGCAGATAATTGTCAGGGCATGAAGCTCCTGGTACCATGTGGGGTTTTGTCTCCTTTCTCTTCTCTCCAGACCTCATTTTTCTGATCATAAAAGTAATAGAGGCCATAATTTTTTTAAAGTTTAGCAAATATAGAACACTAAAAAGGAGACACAGCCGATGCTAACACGCTGGCAGATTTTCTTCCCTGCCAGCAGCCGTCCCTCCCTGAAGGCCACGCTGGACACCTGCACCTGTGCCACCCACCAGGTATGAGCTATGCAGTCACTCCATCCCTTTTGTCTGTGCTATCATGATGGCATTATTAGCTTGTGAGAGCTCTATACCACAGATCACTTGGTTCCCTTACTCCTCTGTCAATCTTATTTTTCTTATTGTAAAAATAAGGTATTAAGAATGTAAAATGATGCAGTTGCTTTGGAAAGTAGTCTGACAGCTCCTCAAACGTTAAACCTAGAGTCCTCTTGAGCCCCCACAATTCACTCCTAGGGATACACTCAAGAAAAATGAATACGCATCCCTGCAAAAACTTGCACCCTAACGTTCATTGCAGCGTCAGCCCCAATAGCCAAAGGTGGAAACAACCCAAATTCCCATTCGACAATGAATGGATAGGGAAATGGGGTCTATCCACATGATGGAATACTATTCAGCCTTCAAAGGAAATGAAATTGATACAGGCTACAACATGGATGAACCCTGACAACATTAGGATGCGTGAAACATGCAAGTTAAAAAAAGACCAGATAGCCAGGCTCGGCGGCTCAGCCTGTCATCCCGCGCCTTTGGGAGGCTGAGGTGAGTGGACCGCCTGAGCCCGCGGGTTCGAGACCCGCCTGGGCAGCGAGACCTCATCTCTACAATAAATAAAACAATCAGCCGGGTGTGGTAGCGCATGCCTGTAATTCCGGCTACTTGGAAGGCTGGGCTGAGGCGGAAGGATCGCCGGAGCCCAGCAGGTCGAGGCTGCGGTGGCCGGGAGCGGCCACTGCACTCCAGTCTGGGCGACAGAGTGAGACTCCGACTCAAAAAAAAAAAAAAGACCACATGTATGATTCCACTTGGAAGAAAGTCCAGAATAGGGAAATCTATAGAGACAGAAAGAAGATTAGAGGTTGCTTAGGGTCGGGAATGGGGGCAGAATGGGATTTAGGAGGGTAATAGTAATGTGGACAGAGTTTCTTTATGGCTGCGGTGATGACTGTACAACTCTGTGATTATACTAAAACCACTGAGTTGTATACTTTTTTTTTAGTTGAAATCTCACTCTTGTCACCCAGGCTGGAGTACAGTGGCACCCTCATGGCCACTGCAGCCTTGACCTGCTGGGCGGAGGCGATCTTTCTGCCTCAACCTTCCAACTAGCTGGAACTAGAGATGCGTGCCACCACACCTGGCTAGCTGTGTGATTTATTGTAAAAATGAGGTCTCACCAAGTTGTCCAAGTTGGTCTTGAACCCTGGGCTCAGGCAATCCTCTCACCTCAGTCTCCCAAAGTGCTGGGATTATAGGCTGAGCCACTGTGCCCGGCCAGATTGTATACTTTTTAAAAGAGTTAGGGTCTCACTATGTTGCCCAGGCTGGTCTAAAATTCCTGGCCTCAAGCAATCCTCTCGCCCCAGTGTCCTAAAAGTGTTAGGATTACAGGCATGAGCCACTGCACTCGGCCTAGGACAGTATCTTGTCTCTCCTTTTTCTTCAGTTTGCAATGTTCCTTAAGTGACTGAGACAGCAGTGTCCATAGGTGGCCTCCAGTCACCTGTGGCTGTTTATACTTACATTTAAATGAAGTGAAATGAAATAAAAGGTAAAATTCAGCTCTTCTGTTGCACCAGCACATCTTAGACCCTCAACAGCCACATGTACCTGGTGGCCGCCATACTGGCTGGTGCAGACACAGACTGTTTCCATCACTGTAGGAAGCTCTGTTAGACCTATGGTTCTCAGCCAGGGCAATCTATACCTCTGACCACCCCCGCTGGGGACATTTGGTGATGTCTGGAGACCCCACAACTTGAGGAGGTGCTATGGCATCTAACGGGTGAAGGCCAGGATGCAGCTGAACATCCTACAGTGCACAAGATAGCCCCCACAACAAAGAATGATCTCAAATGGCAACAGTGCCGAGACTGAGAATTCTGCCCCGGACTCCTGGGGTTCAGCCTTGTTGGGCAGGCAGCGGAGGTGGTAGAAGGAAGTAAAGGAAAATAATTTTATTCAAGAAGAAAAGTACTGCCTGTGATCCCAGCGCTTTGGGAGGCGGAGGCGAGAGGACTGCCTGAGCCTGAGCAAGAGACCAGCAAGAGACCACCTGCTGGGCAACTTGGCAAGACTTCATCTCTATGGTAAATCAAAAAATTAGCTGGGCGTGGTGGCGCATGCCTGTAGTTCCAGCTACTTGGAAGGCTGAGGCGGAAGGATCGTCTGAGCCCAGCAGGTGGAGGCTGTGGTGGCCATGATCAGGCTGCTGCACTCCAGCCTGGGTGACAGAGTGAGACTCTGACTCAAGAAAAATATTTTTAAAAAAGTATTTTAAAAGTTGCAATGATAAAATGCACTATCTCCATGCAATGGAATGTTATTCAGCCTTAAAAAGGAAAGAAATTCTGACACAGGCCACAAGGATGAGCCTGAGGACATTGTGCTGAGTGAGAGAAGCTGGACAAAAGGGGCACATCCTGCACAAGTCCACTTATATGAGGTCCCCAGAGTTGTCAGATTCATGGGGAAAGAAAGTAGAAGGTGGTGGCCAGGGGCTGGGGAGGGCAATGCGGAGTCAGTGTTCCATGGGAACAGAGTTTCCATTGGGCAGGATAAAAAAGTTCTGGAGGTGGACGGTAGTGATAGTCACACAACAATGCAAATGTGCTTAATGCCACAGACTTACATTTAAAATGGTTAACATGGTTAAATTTTGTCATGTGTATTTTACCATAAAAAGAAGAAAGGACATATGATAAACAAATAAGGTAAGCAAGTATTGTGCATAATATCAATAGACTTGGCTGGGCACAGTGGCTCACGCCTATAATACCAGTGCTTTGGGAGGCTGAGGCAGGAGGATTGCTTGAGGCCAGGAGTTTGAGACCAGCCTGGGTAACATAGTGAAATGTCTTCTCTCCAAAAAATCCAAAAGTTAGCCGGGCATGGTAGCATGCCCCTATACTCCCAGCTACTCGGGAGGCTGAGGCGGAAGGATCAGCTGAGCCCAGGAAGTCAAGGGTGCAGTGAGGTATGATTATGCCACACCGCACTCCAGCCTGGGTGACAGAATGAGAATCTCAACTCAAAAAATAAAAATTAGAAAAAATATATATCAATAGACTGAAAGCAAGGTTTCCACTCTTTCCTTTTTATTTTTACTTTTGAGTTGGAGTTTCACTCCATCACCCAGGGTGGAATGCAGTGGCATACTCACAGTCACCCCAGCATCGACCTGCTGGGCTCTGGTGATCTTTCCGCCTCAGCCTTCCAAGTAGCTGGAACTACAGGCATGCCTTACTGCGCTGGGCTAATTTTTTTATTTATTGTAGAGACGAGGTCTCACCAAGTTACCCGGGCTGGTCTTGAAGCCGCGGGCTCAGGCAATCCACTCGCCTCGGCTTCCCAAAGTGCTGGGATTACAGGCTGAGCCGCTGAGCCCAGCTTCCACTCTCTTAAATCGGGGAGAGTTTCTCCGCCTTGTGCATTTCCAGCGTTCTGCACACGCCTTCCTCTTAGGAACAAAAGACAAAAATGCTCGCCTTTTTTTGGCTGCCAACCTCAGATCTATGAAATCATCAGATGGGTGAACATTCACTAGACTCCTCTGGGCCCTGTCCCACCACCTCACTGCTTCTCAGACTCCCTCCCACCAGGGAGCCAGGAGTTAAGAGCCGGGACCTGGACCATGTCTGAGAACAGTACACATCTGCCCCAGCCTCTGGCCAAATCTCCTCACAAACACACCTGCGATGAGGTATTCCTTCTTTCCTCCGACGTCAAGTGATACCCCGCACACTGCCGAGGAGGGGGCCGTGTAGATAAACTCTATATCCTTGTCGGGTCCTTTGAACATCTGGAAAGGCAAGGAAGAGGAAATGTGAGTGGAAAGGAGCTGTCCTGCCAGGGAATTCTGTTCTCTTCCGGAATACCCCAGGGTAGCCCAACCTACACCCAAGTTGCAAGAGGAAGGCACATAAGTACATGTCACGTGGATTAAAACAGTTGAAGTCACTCAACTGCTTAGTGTGGCAGGGGGGCATAACTGCCACCTGGAGGGGACTTTCTCAGACTTCTGCCCCTCTCCCCTGGCCCCCAGCTCCAATGAGGTCATTTCAGTCTCTGGGAAGGGGGTGGTGCACTTCCCCGTGGCTCCAGCATCATGGAGAACCACAACCTTCGTATATTCCCAGGAAGTCTGATGCAGCATTGTCTACTTGAAGGGACGGGAGCACAGAGGCACTCCTGGAGTTAGGATGTAAACCACGGGCCGGGGGGCTGGTTGCTCAACATCTGACTGACTTTATGGCCTTTCAGGGCCACCTGCTACCCAGCTGAAGGAAGGCATTTTTTCCAGTGTTTTTTTCCCCCCTCCCAAGAGAGTTTTAATAAGCAATGCCAAATGGAATGGGATCATCCCTAATGTCACAACAAGCAGCTTTTAACTTCAACCTGTACCAAGAAGGTCACGTTGATGATTGTACTAAATGACATCATTAGCCAAAGGACTAAAAGCACTTCCTTGGCATTAACACGGGCCTTCCCATGACCCCTTCATGAGGTCCTAAGAGCAGATCTCTCTCCCACTCCATAAATAAAGAAGCTTAGGCACCGAGAGACTAGGTCACCCCTTAAAGTGACATAGTTGTGATGATTAAGCATTCCATTGTCCTTCTGGTAACATTTACTCTCTACTAGTTTTTGTTTTTGTAACAACATTAAATATGAACAGCTATAAGACGTACCATGGTACAGAGCTATCCCTTCCTCAGGAACCCAAAATTTTCTTCCTTCCTTCCTTCCTTCCTTCTTTTTTTTCAGTTGGAGTCTCACTCTGTCACCCAGGCTGGAGTGCAGTGGCACAATCACGGCTCACTGCAGCCTCAACTTCTTGGGCTCAGGTGATCCTCCTGCCTCAGCCTCTCGCGTATTTGGGATTACAAGAGCATGTCACCACACCCACTAATTTTTTGATTTTTGTAGAGACGAGGTTTTGCTATGTTGCCTAGCCAGTCTCAAACTTCTGGGCTCAAGCAATTCTCCTGCCTCAGCCTCCCAAAGTGCTGGGATTATAGGCGTGAGCCATAGTGTCCGGCTTGGAACCTAGAATTTTCTTCTCCCTTATAGATCATGTTTGTTACTGTCAATAACAATAATATCAGCCTTTGGTCCCAGCTGTCTCCTCTCCTCTCCTCCTCATTCTTCCTCCCTCCCTCCCTTCCTTTCTCTGTAGCCCTTCCAAACATGGGCATCTCCCCATATGACCCTAAACACGGACAATGCTCTGAAAAAATGAACACATGTCCTACCACCTCCGCCTGGGGCTCCATCCCCTCTCCCACCTGACGCCTCATCCTCTCAGTACCTGGCCCACTCCACGATATCCATTTCTTTCTCACTTTCTGGAAGCTGCCCCTAACATACCTGGCCATGGGACTCCTCTTGCCAAATCCCTCTTCTCTAGAATTTAAAGTCAACCAGGCAGTCTGGGAGACTTGGGTCACATTGTCTCACATCATGGCGACGGCCAAGTCCCCACAGCCTTTCAACCCCAGCCAGCCACAGAGATGTACCCACGGGACAGTCCACAGATGGTACGCCTCAGATCTATTATCCATCAAAATAAAGGTAACACACTTCTGAGATAATTGAAGTCGCAGGAACATGCCACTTCTAGACTTCTCAGGCAATTGTGGATGAAGAAAAAATCCAATCTATTTGCGGCGTGAAGACCTCATTTTCTGTTCCATCCTCCAGGGATCCAGGCTCTCTGCAACCCCCTAGCCCACCACATCTCTGTCTAACGGTACAGCCTGGGTTGATGGTGGATGTTACCTTTATCTGCTTGATCTCATACTGAATCCTCTTGATGGGGTTGCCGTAAATGTCATTCCCGGAGTCCACCTCCTTCTCACTGACCGCTTTGGCCCTGATCACTGCAAAACACCAAGACACAGAGGTAAGGAGAGTTCCCGAAAGAGGGTCCTGGGTCTGAAAAGCGAGGTAAAGTGTCCAGGCCTGCAAGAGGCGCTGGGGAGACGGAGTAGCAGCGAGGTGAGAGGTGAGTCCACCTTTCCTGTCCCTGCTAGGAAAGGAGGGGCAAGAGGCTCCCTGACCCCAGCAGGGCGTCTACCCCCTACAAGCTGAGAGATCACACTCTAAGGTTCTTTCCTGCCCACAATTCCTCAGTGAGAATCCTTCTATTGTTGACAGGGGTCTGATCCAAAAGCTCATGACCCGTGTGGTTTCTGCAACAGCGAGAGGCGGTCATTGATTTGACCAAAGCTCATCTGCGGATGTCACACTTGAGTGCTTTGGGCTCTTGTTCACTGTCACCAATGTGTATTTATTGGCAGCTAGGGGAGACAGATTCACAACTGAACTGGCCTGCAATCCCGCCCATTCAGTTAAAGATAAGATACTCCACTACTCTCCATCCACAGCCTGTTGGTAAACAAGCTTTTCAGACAAAGGGCAAAGAGGTAGTTTCCTGCCTTGAAGGGGCCAGGGATATTTAGGTTTGGGGGTCTTACATCTGCAAGGTCTATCCAGTTACCCTTCTCATCTGTCCTAACCCAGAAAATGTCCTTCTTTTTTTTTAAGTCGGAGTCTCACTCTGTCACCCAGGCTGGAGTGCAGTGGCATGCTCACGGCCACCACAGCCTCTATCTGATCCTTCCACCTCAGTCTTCCAAGGAACTGGAACCACAGGCGTGCACCACCATGCCCAGCTAATTTTTATTTATTTATTGTAGAGACGAGGCCTTGCCAAGTTGCCCAGGCTGGCCTCAAACCCCTGGACTCAGGCAATCCTCTCGCTTCCGCCTCGTAAAGTGCTGGGATTACAGACGTGAGCCACCATGCCTAGCTGTTCAATTACAGTAACACAAATTCTATCAGAAGCATGACAGAGGCAGAGTCAGAACGTTTTTACCCAAAGGACACAGATTGGGTTAGGAGATCTCCACAGGCATAGCTGGTGGCCACAAGGGACAGATGCCAAGGAAGGAGGTCAATCAGAAAGAAAAAGGAGCTCAACCATGGCCAAAGACAAGAAGAAAAGGAAGAGGTCAGGCTGAGAAGACTCCAGAATGTTCTGGAACATGAGGCTGTGGATGGGCCATACACCACAGGCTTTCTACCAGCGATTAAGCCACTCCTGGTAACCTGACAGTCTGTGGATTAGCAGTTCACATTGTCACTCAAGCAGGACTGGGTAGACCCTCCCTTTTCTCCTCTCAAGGCCATTGGGAGGTGGTATGGCCTATTTTAATGGCCTTCAAAGCTTTGCCCTCCCCACCCTGGGTGTGTAGGTCACTCTGGGTAGGTTTACATTAGTGTGGATATGAACAAAATAGGAAGGTGAGGAGCAGATGGCGCTGGGCTCAAGGGGGCCTCCCACCCCAGTCTCCGGGCATCAGTTCACATCCTTTGGAAATTCCTAGCCAGGGCTGTCTTTCCCCACAGGGCTGTCTTTCCCCACAGGCCCAGGTGCATGGGCACTCCACCTGCTTGCATCCCCCTGGGCCCAGCTTGCCTCAGAGTCTCACACCACAGCCTCACTCCCCCACCCAGCCCAACCCCCCTTATTTCTTCTTTTGCTAGAGCTGAGTCATGACTGGCTGAGGCCACAGGTTCCTGTTTTCCAGGCTAAGCCAGACCTCACCCTAAAAAGCCACATCTAAGAAATGCTGCCCAGTGAGCCACCTCAGAACAGAGAGCTTTGTCTTGAAGGTCCCCCTACCTCCAGTCTCCCCCAACCATCATCTTATCCACTGCGGTTGCCTGACCACCTCTACTCTGCTCTTGCTGTCCCACCAGTCCAAGATACTCTCCTGCTCTGAACATGCCCAGGTATTTCTACGCCTCTGAACAGGCAAGTTTCTTCTCCCTGCAAATGCCATCTCTGTGCCTCTGCCCAGATAACTTCTATTCACCCTTCCAGACCTAGCCAAAATAGTCCATATCTGTCTTCCTCTGGGAAATTAGGCCCGGAGTCCTAATAGGTAGAGGCTATGTTTCAACTGTAGAACAGTTGGTGCTCACTAAATGCTTGCCAGATGGAACTAAGCAGAACCTGACAACTTTGGGCTGATGGCCCAGATGAAGTTTGTGTTTGGTCCCACTTTCTACCTGACTAATCTGTATATCTAATCAAAATGCTGCATTAAAAAAAAGTTTATGTAAATCAATAAATATGGCAGGTTAACTTTGTCCTAAGTTTCCTCTTCGTGTAGCAGAGTTATCAACTGCAAAACAAACAAGCAGGTCTGTGTGCAATGGCTCATGCCTATAATCCCAGCACTTTGGGAGACTAAGGAGAGAGGATCGCTGAGCCCAGGAGTTGGAGGCTGTGGTGAGCTGTGATCATGCCACTGCACTCCAGCCTGGGCAATAGAGAGAGACTCCTGACTCAAAAACAAAACAAAAAAACAGCAAAATCCAAATGAAACAATGGTTCCAGAAGGTGCGATCAGCCAGACTTTCCTACAGGCCACCTAATTCTACATGTTTTTGGGAATTTCTAGAACTGTTTTTCAGGGGTCCACTACATCGCACAATGCTTAAAACACAATAGGTGTGCAATAAACATACCACTGGCGATCAGAAAATAAGCAAAGATTACTCCTCAACAGCCAAAAGTTTCCATTCTGTTCCATGCATTAAAGGTCAAGCATCATTTTCTTACAAGAACCCCTGCGGCTCCTGGGGCCTTAGGTTGCAAGAGGAAGTATCAGGGATAAATCCTGTATTAGCCAGTGACCAGCCGTGTGGTCTCGAAGAAGTTCCTTGACTTCCCTGAGCCACAGCTGCTTCCGCCTAGAACAGACAACAACGGCTTCTGCACTTCCTAACGTTGCGGTGAAGATTAGAGAGGTCACGTGCGGCACGCAGGACCTGGCAACTAACACATGTCCAGTTTAGGGCTATGAGCAAAAACAGTACAACAGACAAGAACACAGCAAAATCTCCCACTCCCGTGGGAGAGGGTCTAGGAAAGCGGCATCACCCTGCTCAGGTCCAGAGACCTGGTCCCGGTCAGCGAACCAACCAGAGTCTAGACTCGATGTTGCTTTCTCACGTGCTTGCTTTGCTTTGGGGCTGCGGATGATGTGCTTTTCTTCTTTCTTTAAGTTGTCAGAAAAGAGACTGGTGGAATCAAGGGTCCAGGGTAGACACGTGCGGTTAAGACTAGAAAGTTGGCCGGGTGCCGTGGGTCATACCTATAATCCCAGCACTTTGGGAGGCTGAGGTGGAAGGATTGCTTGAGCCTAGGAGTTCAGGACAGCCTAGGCAACATAGCGAGACGTTGTCTCTATAAAATATAATAGTAAAAAAAAAATCAGCCAGGCTTGATGGCACACCTGTAGTCCCAGCTACTTGGGAGACGGAGGCAGAAGAATTGCCAGAACCCAGGAAGCTGAGGCTGTGGTGAGTCTTGATCATGTCACTGCACTCTGGCCCGGCCAACAGAAACAAGAACCTGCCTCAATAAAAAAAAAAAAAGACTAGAAAGTTAATTGGCACAAAGGCTGTCAGATGCCTGCAGGGAAGTGGGGGTAAGGAGCAGGGAGGAGGAGAGACAGAGAGACTCTCCATCTCTAATTGGGATGCTTCCATCTGTCCATGCGGAACCAGAATTCAGATTCTTCAGAGTCTCTTTGAATTCGGGGTGAGTGCCTCCTCCCCCATTTTGCAAAATGAGAGATTACATGAAGGAAAGAAAACAGGAATCGAGAGTGGCAAAGATGGACCTGTTCCATGGAAACCTCTCCCAAAGCACCAACACCCCTGAGGTGAAGGACAGAGGCTGAGCTGGTAGCCCTGGCTGGTACACACATCGGCTTAGTGAGGTCTGCACAGCTGACCTGCTCAAAGCAGTGGGCACCTGTCTGCAGTTGTTGCCTGGAGGCAATAGTGGGTGGAGAAAGGGGTTTATGGTGAATCTTGCATGTAGACAGTTCCAGTAACAGACCGTGACTTTGAGGAGTTTCTAACCCAAGCAAGAAGATGGATGCTGGACAGGAAAACAGAGCAGGTGAGTGACAGGGACAGAGGAAGAAAGCTCTCCTGAAGACATCTCCACATCTCCATATGCATGGCAATGGTCCACCCAGTGAGCTCCAGGATTAACCAGCAGGACTGTAGGGGCAAGGAGGCCACTCAGGAGGGAGGGAGGGCCTCTCTGAGTGCCAGGCCACTTAAAGAATAGGGCTGGGGAAAAGCAAAGCCACACAAGAACCCAGAAAGAAAGCAGAATCAAAGGCTGGACACGTGTTTACTGAAAACCTACTACATGCTGGGCCTGGTGCTAGCCACTAGGTTGGGGACAGCCCACATCCTGTCCATGTCTCCAAGAGCATGGTTGCTCTGTCCCTTACCTGAGGAGCTAGAAGCAACAGTGTGGGAAGGAGAGTCTTTATAAAGACTCTTGTTTTGGCTGGGTGCAGTGCCTTGCACCTATAATGCCAGCAATTTGGGAGGCCAAGGTGGGAGAACTGCTTGAATCCCAGGAGTTTGAAACCAGTCTGGGCAATACAGTGAGACCTCAGCTCTACCAAAAAAAAAAACACAAAAAACAGGCATGGTGGCACGTGCCTGTAGTCCCAGCTACTCAGGAGACTGAGGCGGAAGGATCACATGAGCCCAGGAAGTCGAGGTTGTGGTGAGCTGTGATCATGCCACCGCACTCTGGACGGGGCGACAGAATGAGATCTTGACTCGAAAAAAAAAAAAGATTCTTGTTCTGCTTGGTGCCCCACAACCATGGCCTCTCCCCGGCGGCTTAGATTTCACTTTTTCCTCCTTCTTTCTGCTGCTAACACAACATCTGGGTTTGAGATCAAGGGTGACCCACTGGCTGATGAATTCACTGCCAGATGCTGGCTACCGGAATGTATGACCGCACCCGCAGCCGCAGAGCCCCTGCCCCCAC